ATGAGTCAACAGAGTTTTACGAATACAGAAGTTCGGATATCGAGCCTAGGGCGTCGAGGCCGAGAGTCGCAAAATCACAAGCGACAAGTACGAACGTAACCGTAACACCACAATGGTCTAACCATGTGGATGCTAGGCTAGTTCGAGCTAGCATGCACCTAGCATGGCTAGGTGCAAGCCTAAGCACACAAGGTGTGCTAGGCACACCATCGCAGCCTAGGCGCTCCATCGCAGCCTAGGAACACCATTGCTGACCATCGCAGCCGTAGCATCATGCCTAGGCGCTATCGCAGCCCTAGCATGATGCCTAGGCACCATCGCTGACCATCGCAGCCTAGGTGCACCATCGCAACACAACAACGTGCTTGGCTGGATGCCTAGGTGCGCATGGCAGAGCCACACACGCACTGGCTGATGTGTGCTAGTGCGAAGGTGCCTTGGCAGCATCGCCCAACACGCATGCTAGGCCCTTGCGTGCGTAGGCGCACTGGCTGGGCCAGCAATGCGTGTGGCGCATGTGCGAGAAGTGCAGCGAGGGATGCGAAGGTGGTGCGTGTGACTGGCGAGGCAAGGGGCCAGCATGCGTGGCTCACTAGCAGCACGCATGCTGGATATGCATCAGCGCCAGCACACAGCATCAGCGCAAGCATCGCCTAGCACCAGCACGCATTGACTGGCTGGGATGCTGAGGCTGCTGGGCATGTGCTAGCTGGTTGCCAGCCCAGCAGCTATGTGGCGGCAGTGAGGGAGAGTGTGGGGACCAAGGCTTGGGCAAAGCCTTGGGGAACAAGGAATTGGTCCCCCCACCTCTCCATGGTCCTCACCTAACCTTCTCTCTCCCCTTGACACTTGTTGCATTGTGATTGAATTTAATTATTAATTTATTTTAGAAATAAATTAATTGTCAAATAATTCAGTCTCCCACATTGGTTGGGGAAAGAAGTTCAAGGGTGCATTTCCCTATAAATACCAAAGGCATGGTAGTGGGAAATGCACAACCTTGAGTGGAATTAAAAAGGTAACTCTTGTAATTAGAGTAAACCTTTGATTCGTAAAACTCATAGTTTTGTTTTGTCCGGGTCTTCACTTACCTTCAAGACTTGGGACGCTCGGGTCGGGTCGAGGGTACGATCCGTCAGAGATCTCGTAGTTTCGGGATTTTGAAGTAAGAGCTCTTCGGGAGCGAAGCACACAACAAAGGTGTAATTCTTGTTCTTAGTCTTGTTTGATTAAGTTTATTATGCTTGTTAATTGCTTTAATTAAGGGGCGGGTCTTGGGGGGTTTCTTTCCGCGTAGTGTCGGGTCACTACAAAACCCTACACTAGCGCCTAGCAATGCGAGATCCATGCTAGCTCGAGCTAGCCTAGCAACCACATGGCTAGGCCAATGTGATGCTACGGCTTTGCTCGAACTTGTTGTGTGTTGAATTTACGACGTACGGTCTCGACGCTCTAGGCTCGATATCCGAAGTCTGTGTTCGTAATACTCTAGTGACTCATCAAATCCTTAGGATTAATTCGTCGGTTCGGATCGGCAATTCGTTTAGGTTCGACACGAAGGGTTTAGTCAAGATAAAGTTATAATATTATTTGTTCACTAATATTAGTAATCGGAAGCGGCCTCCACCCAGGCATTCCGATCACTTGATCTCACTGAAGTATTGGCTTCCTATTAATTCTGAACCCTCTATCAGAATAATACACTTGTTGGAAGGACACCATTCCTTTCAATCTCTCACTTGTCCTTCCGGAAAAGTGTGCATATAAGGTAAGAATCTTCGACATCCTTATTACGTTCAGAAGTGTTTCTCGATCTCCGAATTCGACTGTCAATAAGCAGATGATTTCTAAAGTCCATCTGAGCACGGCCATGCATTTTCACAGTCTCGCTCTTCGAGCGGCCTTGTAAGCAACAAAGACATATTTCCTATTGTTAATAGGGGGACATTCCCAGTCTTGTACTGTAAGCCTCCCTTACTAACAGGACATAATCTCCCAGGTGTTCCCCCCAGTTACGGCGGACGTTTGGCAACATCAAAGAGACTAGTACTCAAACAAGTGAAATTCACAATATTCATGGTTGAGGAAACAGGTTCCGATAGTTATAATGAGAAATGTACTTATGACGATTTTGAATCTCTTAAAGTACTCTCATAGGTCGATCCGGTGTAGTTCCAAACTAGCACCTGTGTAAATGATTTATGACTACTATGTCCTTGCAGCACAAGAAACGATGTTGTAACTCATACTACACACTAATCTCTGGTGGTCATTGATCGTCCATTAGTTAAACGACCTCGATTAGAGATAATTTTCGATTTAAATATTCAATGTTCACTTAACAGGTGTTTCTTTATCCAAGACATGGTCTTGATACCTTGTTTTGAATATTCTCTGAAATCAAATGGACTCATTATTTAATTCTAAACCACAATTAAATAACAATGGATTGAATAGTAATTTTGCATAAAATTGATTACTCCAAAAAGAATGGTTTCAACATAGTGTTTTACATTAAGACATCTAGTTTAATTAAAACATATGTATAGGGAATTCAAAACCAATCTCCAACGTGCTTGATTCCCATTGCCTCCACGTGCTTGTTGTGCTTCACCTAAGGAAGAGGTTTAGTAAAAGGATCGGCCACATTGTCATCCGTCCCGATCTTACAAATTCTGATTTCACCTTCGGATTTCCATTCCCTTATCATGTGAAATCGCCTTTGGACATGTTTGACCTTCTGGTGTTCTCTTGGCTCTCTGGCCTGAGCAATAGCTCTATTGTTTTCACAATAGGGATCTATTGGACCCTTGATGGAGGGTACAACACCAAGTTCAGTGACGAACTTACGAATCCAAACTGCCTCCTTAGCAGCTTCCGAAACTGCCAAGTATTCGGCTTCAGTTGTAGAATCTGCAGTGGTGCTTTGGTTGGCACTCTTCCAACTAAACGCTCCTCCATTTAGGCAAAATATGTACCCTAACTGTGACTTGAAGTCGTCTCTGCCAGTCTGGAAGCTAGCGTCGGTGTAACCTTCAACAATCAAATCTTCACAGCCACCATAGACCAGGAATTTATCCTTGTTCCTTTTCAGGTACTTTAGGTTATTCTTAGCCGCATTCAATGCGCCTCTCCTGGATCTGACTGGGATCGGCTCGTAGCACTTAAGGCGTACGATACATCAGGCCTAGTACATATCATGGCCTACATGATCGATCCAATTAGCGAAGCATATGGAATCTGATTCATTCTCTCCCGCTCAACAGGTGTCTGTGGACACTGTTTCTTGCTGAGAGTTACGCCATGGGACATGGGTAGGTGCCCTCTCTAGGCATTCTCCATGCTGAATCATGCCAGTACTTTATCAACGTAAGTACTCTGGCTCAATCCAATCATCCTCTTAGATCTATCCCTATAGATCTTGATGCCCAATATGTACTGTGCCTCTTCTAAGTTCTTCATTGAAAAGCACTTTTCTAGCCATCCCTTTATGGACTCTAATAATTTTGTGTTGTTTCCAATGAGCAATATATCATCGACATATAGGACTAGGAATGCGATGTCACTCCCACTGACCTTCCTGTAAGCACAAGACTCATCTGGATTCTTGATAAAACCAAACTTACTGATGGCTTTATCAAATCGTAGATTCTAACTTCTGCTTGCCTGCTTCAGTCCATAAATGAACTTCTTAAGCTTGCATACTTTTCCAGCATTGCTTGGATCAACAAAACCTTCCGGCTGTGTCATATACACAGTTTCTTCCAAAATCCCATTAAGGAAGACGGTTTTGACGTCCATTTGCCATATTTGGTAATCGTAATATGCAGCAATCGCTAAGATGATCCAACCGGACTTAAGCATTGCGACTGGCGAAAAGGTTTCATCATAATCAATCCCGTGGATTTTCCTGTAACCTTTTGCCACCAGTCTAGCTTTGTATATTGATACATTTCCATCTTTGACTGTTTTCAATTTGAAAATCCATTTGCAACCGATGGGTGTTTAACCTTCGGGCAAATTTACCAAGTCCCAGACTTGATTTTCAAACATGGAGTCCATCTTAGATTTCATGGCCTCTTGCCATTTAGCAGAGTTAGGGTTCGTCATAGCTTGTTTGTTTGTCGCTGGCTCATCTCCATCCATGACTAGGATGTCCCGATCTTCGGTTAAGACAATACTAAGGTATTTGTCTGGTTGAGATCTTGGCCGTTGCGACCTACGAAGGGTACTAAGTTGAGCATTTACATTGTCTGTTTGATTCTGACCAATCTTATCAACTTCTTATAAAGCATTTTGATTGTCAATTTTATCAGGTTGACATTGTTGCTCGTCCTCTCGAACTTCGTCCAGTTCGATTTTCCTCCCACTTGTCATTTTGGAAAGGTTTTCCTTCTCCAAAAAGACACCATCTCGAGCAACAAAGACTTTGTTCTCGGATTTGTTATGGTACCCCTTGGTTTCTTTTAGGTAGCCCACAAAGAAACACTTGTCTGATTTCGGGTGAAGCTTGTTAGAAATTAATCGCTTGACATATGCTTCGCAATCCCAAATCTTAAGGAAAGACAACCTTGGAGGTTTCTTAGTCCATTATTCATATGGAGTCTTTTCGACAGCTTTTGACGTAGCACGGTTCAGTGTTAGTGCCGCAGTTAGTAGCGCATGTCCCTAGAAGAGATAGGAAGTTCACTAAGACCCATCATTGATCGAACCATGTCTGACAAGGTTCGATTTCTCCTTTCGGATACTCCATTCCACAGAGGAGTTCACTAGACGAAAAAGATAAAAAGGTACCGGTTCAAAGCCCCCCTTTGGCACCGGTTTTGAACCGTTGGGTATTTGAGGGATGCCAAATCCCACTTTAGGGACCGGTTCAAAAAACCCCACTTTAGGCACCGGTTCTTGCTTTGAACCGGTGCCAAAAGTCTCAAAAAAAAAAATTATAAAAAACTTTTGGCACCAGGTCTGGTCCAAACCGGTGCCAAATATACCCCAGAAAAATAAAAAAAATAAAGTTACATATTTTCATTAAAAAAGGCTGTAATATTATAATTTTCGTCTAAAAAAAATTAAATAACCAAACTGCTCTGCTGTTTCCATTTAGCTGCGCTGCTGTGCCTCTGCTTGTTCATGCTGGCTAGGCATCTGTTTGCTTCTGTGGCCGTGTCTTTGTTATGTTCAGGCTGACTGGGTGACTGGTTTGAGTGCTTGAGCTGCTGTGTTTCTGTTCTGCTCTGTTGTAGTGCTGGGTGTTTGCTGCTCTGCTGTAGTGCTGTGTTGCTTGCTAGTCAGGCTGCTGTGTTTGCTGGGTTCTGCTGCGTGGTCCTCTGTGTTGCGGTACTGGTGAGCTTCTGTGGTGCTGTGCTGGTGGCGCTCTGATGTGCTGTGCTGTTAATTCAGGCAAAAGGAACTAATTAGAGAAGGCTAGACGGTCCTTAAAAAGATTCAAGTAGATCTTTTTAATCATAAAATGGGCAAAAAGAGTTTTAATCACGCTTGTAATAACATCAGAACGCCTAGTTCGAGAAGGCTGCATAATCCTTAAAAGATCCTGATAGGAGAGTCTATTAAGAAATAAGCATATAGAAAGAATGTAAACAATGTTTATACTAAAATGAGAGAGAGCAATGCCAAGACAAGCCAGATACAGGGGCAAAAGAATCAATAATGCATAAAATCTGGTAGTATATTATTCTTCCATTCCAAAAATCTGGTGACCTTTACAATCAGGCAAGAGCGAACGAGTTTCATAAGTCACATTGCTTTAGTCAAGAGCCTGCATTTATCTTATCGTAAATGAATATTTAATACATATATCCATTTTTTTTTTGGTGCGAGGGGCCTAGGCAATGGCCAGCAAATAAGCATAACAAATAACAAATATCTAGAGCAAGTACACATGTGTTAATTTCTCATAAAAGATTAATGGATTTGGAAGTCGTAATTAGCACCTGTAAAACACGAGTGAAACACTCTTTTTCTCGAGAAGTAGTTTCACCAAAATGAACCGTCCTCGTTATGTCTGTTGTCCCATCTATATATTGTGCTCCACTGTCAAGCAAGAAGAGTTTTTCAGGATCCACAATGCTGCAACTATCTGGTTCTGGTTTGTAATGAATTATTGCACCATTCGGACCAGAACCTGAAAGCCATTTTCCATGCATTTGATAAGTGGAAAGAACATTTTCATTAGCAGGACAGTTGAAAGAACATGAGATTGAGAAAAAAGGTAGCATTTATTAACGCTACACCATGATAATAGTTAACAAAACATTTGATGAAATAATGCTTGTTCCTACAAATTTTTATTAAACTTACAAGAAACATAGAGTGAAGTATGCTAGATGAAATTTTCAGGGAGCCAAAGTATCAGAATTCAAGAGAATGTTTTATTTTACAAAAACAAACTTCCTTAAGACCAAGTGGATGCATAAATGGTAGAAATGGATAAAGTAACATATCAACACCAGCAATTAAACAGATTGTACGAATAATAATTTTAAAATCTTATCCAAATGGTAACCTAGCAGCCTACATACATACAAAATGCAAATAAACACAGAACAGAGTTTTTTTTTTTTTTTTTCTTTGGGTTAAAGGTTGGGGAGAGAGGAGCCTGAGTCCACAATCCAAAGAAAGGAAGCATAAAAAACACAATTGGTCCAAAAAGTAATGAAGTACAATCTAGACTACAAAACATAAAGAGAAAGAAGCTAGGGCAACCCTTACATGAAGCACTTTATAAATATCATTTCCAGTAAATCAACAAAAAGAAACAGTCATACACGTACAACAGGAAGCTGCAAAATCATGTTTCTAAACCAGGTTTGAAAGTTGGTCAAATACCCTTCTTGTCACTAGAAGTGAATTATTTAAAGCCAGTAGGACGAAATTATTTAAGCCAAAAGGATGAAATCCTACAAGGTCATTTAAGCTTCTGCTTGACTACTTTGCCATGTTGCCTGGTATGTTAGGATGATCATAGACACAATAATATTCTTAGAAGAATTACCACTTTTACATCAATCTCTAATGAATTACTAGCTTGAGCCACTGTGTAACTTTAGATTGTGCATGTTATGATAGAATAGTATTGTGTCTACTACCACTCCTTTTTTCTGTGTTTCCAGAAATTACTTTATTTCTCACCTAAAAAAAAATCAAAATGCTTAAAATATAGCAGCAAAATTCACAAGAATTAAAAATATATCACTCATGTATTTGAGGTTCTTCGCAATGACTTATTATAAAAATATACTCAACAGAGTTGGTTAAAAGCTATTTAAAAGGATATAATTCAATAGTCAAAAGAGCAATTGAATAGTACCACTTATAGTATCAAAACTTGTATCCACAAAACCATCATGCTTGGAACGAAAACTCAAGAAGTTTGTCTGCCACTTCCACCTCTGTCAATGTCCACCAGTAGTGATACAAACATTAAACATTTTTCTTTATTAATCTGGTGAAAATTTATAATGCTACTCATATGGTTACGGTTTTGATGCAAACCCTGATATAGATTTTAGGGAGTACTCCTTATTATTCTGGCCTAGATTTCACACCGCCCTGGATATATTGAGCTTACAATATTTTACTTTTACTGGTCTTAAAATTAACATCTGTGCAAATATTATAGAGATTATAGTTGTTTAAGCAGTTCTAGATTATAGTTGGACTCAATCACTTAGAAAAGAGCTGAAACTAGAAGTGGAATCCCCACATCTCACTAAAACAACAAACAAAATCAGGATAGATAAGGGGTATCACTGTATCAGAGTAATAAGGATTGTTATTCTTACAGTAGCACATAAGAAAAGAGGTTTGAGACCAGAAGCAACATCATGTGATACCGCTTCAGAAAGTACTTCAGGAGATAGAGCATATTCACTTGACGATTCCGTCTTCAAAATTCTGATGTTTTCAGAATATATTCCTGCAATCTTATATCATACAGAAAAGACAGAACATCAAAATCGAGAATTAAACAAGTCTTACCAACGCAAAACTTTTAGTTAAGTAACATAGCTATGTAATCAACTATTCTATAAACATGATCTTATGTTATCATACCGTGATTACATTGATCCTTAAGATCCCGAAAGACAAAATCCAAAATGTACTGGCAATTCAAAGCATTCTTATTACGAGTACTAAAAGAATTTTTTTTATAAGTTCTAATAATTAATCTCATTCTAATAGTTTCCTCTTTTCACCTGCTACCTCTGTTTTTCATTCTCGAAGCAGTAATATATTCCCTGATCACATGTAGAAACAATTCGAAACCCTGAGCACATGACTTCAAATAAATGACAGAAAGATGAGGATAAGAAAGAGTCAGTTGGAAGCTGCAAATCCCAGTAAATAGCATAAAAACTCAGCTTCACTCCAAACTTATAAAATCCAACAAAATTTCTTAGTTTTACAAAATTAAGAATCAAAGGTATCAACTTAAGTTCATATGAATTGCACCAACTCATTTCAGTTTCACCTCAAACAAAGGTAGAATTCGTCCTAATTTCACTGAATTTACAGATCATAATTCAGTATCACTTAAACTACACTACTTCCAATTCGCAAATTCCAATAAATTCCACCAACTCAACTTAACTACTAATCAAAATCATAACCAAGCATAATTAGCAGCCCTAAAAATCGCATATTTCAAGTGAATCAACCAAACTCAACTTCACTCAATTATATCGACTCAATTATACAAAATTTCAAATCAAATCTATAATAAAGCACATCAAGCAAAGTCCAGATCAACTAAAAAACTCAATCACGACAAAGATCTGAGCAGATCCAATAAAACAACCAAACACACAAACAACACCAAAATCACTAGGGTTTTCAACTGAAATAACTCAAACAATAAAAAAACACCAAAAAAACTCAAAATGAATAATTGGACCAAAAGACCAAAATATAACGCAAAGCTAAATAACCAAGAAACCCTAACCTCGAATTTCTGATTTTTGGTTGGAAATTGATTCGAATTTGTTGTTGTTGAAGACGCAAACACATCGATTTGATTCAAAATAGACGAACCCAGAAACCCTAACCTCCAATGTTGTAGAAAGAGAGGAGAAGGAGATCGAAAGAGAGAAGAAAGGAAAGGGAAAGTGGCAGTTATGGAGAAGAATATCGAAGGAGAGAAAAGGAGTTTGAGGAAAGTGCTTAGAGAAAGCTCAGAAGCCCCTTCAATGGAGAAATTCGAGTACGCTTCAATGGAAGAGAGAGAGAGGCAGATCAGATGAGATAGCAGGAGGAAAGATCGAGGAAATGAAAACGAAGACCCGGTTTTTTTTAAAAAAAAAATGGCACCGGTTTAAACCGGTGCTAATTAAAATACTTGGCACCGGTTTAAGGCGAACCGGTGCCAACTCTATGCCATACATATTTTTTTTTTATTTTTTTTTATATATAAGTTGGCACCAGTTTGAAACCGATGCTAATTAAATGATTGGCACCGGTTTTAGTTGGAGCCGGTGCCAACACTGAATTTTTCAATCCCGCCCATTTCTTTTGGCACCGGTTTTCAAGAATCGGTGCTAAAGGGGGGGTGTCTATTTCATTTTTTCTACTAGTGTTAGGTCCTCTTAGTAAGAGAGGCTTACAATACAAGACTGAGAATGTCCCCATATTAACAATAGGGAATATGTCTTTGTTGTTTACAAGGCCGCTCGAAGAGCGAGACTGTGAAAATGCATGGTCGTGCTCAAATGGATTTTAGAAATCATTTGCTTATTGACAGTCGAACTCGGAGATCGAGAAACACTTCTGGGCGTAATAAGGATGACGAAGATTCTTACCTTATAGTTCATGAATAGACATTAAGCGACATAGGAAATAGGCTATACACTGTATGCACACTTGTCCGGAAGGACAAGTGGGAGATTGAAAGGAATGGTGTCCTTCCAACAAGTGTGTTATTCTGATAGAGGTTTCAGAATTATCAGGAAGCTTATTCTTCAGTGAGATCAAGGGATCGGAATGCCAGGTTGGAGGCCGCTTCTAATCTGTAATATTAGTGAACAATTAATATTACATCTTTGTCTTAACTGAACCCTTCGGGTCGAACCCAAACGAACTGCCGATCCGAATCGACGAATCAAACCGAAGGATTTGATGAGTCACTAGAGTATTAGGAACACAGACGTCGGATATCGAGCCTAGGGCGTCGAGACCGAGCGTCACAAAATCAACAAGGAACAAGTTCACGCGTAGTCGTAGCATCACAATGGCTTATCCATGTGGACGCTAGGCTAGCTCGAGCTAGCATGCACTTTGCATGTCTAGGCGCAAGCCTAGACGCACCATGTGTGCTAGGCGCACCATCGCTAGCACTAGGTGATTGCGTGTGTGTGTGCCTCGCATGGCAGCACCATCACAGCACCATGCATGCTTGTGTGCGTGCCTTCGCATGGCACAGCACCACCGCAGCATGCGAGCTTGCTTGCCTAGGTGCTATCACAAGGCCTCTCACAGCTAGGCGCACAGCACACGATCGCTAGCACTAGGAGCTGGCATGTGTGCGTGCATCGCTAGCACAGCATGCCTCGCGTTGCTAGGTGCTTACGTGCGTGCCTTCGCATGGCAGCAGCAAGAAGCAAGCAGCAAGCAGCGAGGGCTTGCCCAGCGCGCAGCAGCCAGCAGCATGCGTTGCCCGCTAGCAGCACGCATGTTCTAGGGATGCTGGCTGGTGCGTGCTGAGCATGCTAGCTGTGCAGGGCTGGCTGTGCTAGCTGGCCAGCAAGGCTGGCAGCCAGCTCACCCCTTACTTGATGCCTTTTTAAGGAGAGTAGGGACCAACGCTTACAGACATGCCTTGGGGAGCAAGGCAATGGTCCCCCCATGGTTATGGTCCTCACCTAACCTCTCCTCTCCTCATGCCACTTGTTGATTTGTGATTGTATTGTTTTATAATTTATTTTGGAATTAAATAAATGAGTAGAAAATGCAACTATCCCACATTGATCATGAATGGGAAGTGCAAGTTGCATTTCCTTATAAATACCCCATGATTGGGCATTTGGAAATCAACTTGAGTAGAACTCAAAAAGGCATCTCTTATTATTGAGAAAACCTTTAAGTTCGTAAAAATCTAGCTTTATACTTGGTCAAGTCTCGACTGACCCTCGAGGCGAAGATCGTTCGGGTCGGGTCGTGGGTACGAGCCATTGGAGGTCGTCACGCTTGTGAAGCTCTAAGCTTCGAAGTAAGCGCTTGGTTTACGAGCGAAGCACGCATCAAGGGTCTTACTTCTTTATCCCTTTTCTTAATTATTGTTTAATTATGTTTATGCATGCTTTATCGCTTTATTTATTGAGGCGTTCTTGGGCGGGTTTCTCTTCCGCGTAGCGTTGGACGCTACGAAACCCAACAGAAGCAGCCGGCGTCCGCATCTGGGTGGAAAAACTCAAGGCTATGGTGCAAAACCAGGAGGTCCAACTTGCCAAGAAGTATAATTCAAGGGCTGAGGAAGAGAAGGCAGCCCTGGTTGCACAGATGATGGACGAGTGTGATGCCATCATGAAGATGACTTGGAGGCTCTATTCCCAGATGCTTGCTATGACGGTTAGAAGAATCAATTCGCCGCCTCCTCTCAAAAGTACAATGATAAACTCCTTAATCAAGTTCAAGAGGAAGAGGAAGAAGAGGTGGAGAAGTCGTCTGATTCGGCCGAGGGGAACGGTCAGGAGGAGCAGGATTGATGTTGAAAAGAAACAAGAGCTGACTAGGGAAGAGAAGGATGTGGTTGCTGATACAGAAAAGCCTCCTCCTGATGCTTAAGCCTTGGATTAGTTTCTTTCTGCGACCGGATGGCCATGTACTTATTTCTTCGGCCTGCGTGCCGTATGTTTCAATATATCTTTACCGACCGAGGGGTCAAGTTTTAAAAATACTCCTGGTTGTACCGGTAACTCTTTTTGTCGGTCATAAGGCCGACTATTTTTATGAATCATCCGGCCATTTAGCCGGTTTCACCAATTCATACTTGCTTTGAATTTTTGCATTCCATAAATTTTTGCTAAGTATAACTTGCTTTTTGTATGAATGCTTTTTTCATTATCCCCTGGGCGGCTGTGCGCCTAGTTTTCAAAGGTAAATTGATTGCCTTGGAAATTTTTTGATACTTTAAAGAGTTTGACTGAATTCTAAGTCAATCAATCACTATGGTGATTACCCCAAACCAGGCAAACAGTCGGCCATTGCACACGTGGATATACGTTCCGCCTTATCCGGCCTTCAGCCTCATTATAGTTCTAACAGGAACACGCTTAATTGCTAAGTTTTTATTATTCTTGGACAATAGCAAGCATCAAACGGTAAATCTAACTAAGATAGCGACTACTTGTTATATTACATGCGGTAGCTTTTATTATTCTTGGTTTCGTTAACCTAAGCAGGAATAGTGGCCTAATACCGACTGGTGTCAATAAGACAAGCAGTTTTGTTCGTAATATTTAGGTTCATTTTTAGGTTACCCAGACCAACCGACTGTGACTTAGCCCTTTGGGTTATTTAGTCTTTGTCGCTTGATTTTAAGTGTATAGAAGAATCAGACGGCTAACGGTCGCATGTAGTTGCTTCGTATGTTTAGCTACTAAGTTTTGGGCTTAGCTTATATCCTCAAATTTAGCAGATTGTGTTGCCCTTAAGCAACAACAGTCGGTTTTTGACCCAGATATTACAGATTACCGCTTGTTTTTAGAACTGTTGATAGTCTTTTTTATCCTAGACTCATTTGATCAACTGAAACAACTGTTGTTTAGGGTAAAAATACCCTAGTCCACGTGGACCAATTGCATGCTGACACGTGTCACCCTCAGAGAGGTTCTGAAAGAACCTATCCTCCGATGACACTTGGCAGTCCAAGTCATGAAAGGGGAGCTGATCCTCAAACCCTATAAATAGGGAGAGATCCCCATTTATTGCACATTCAGAAATATTCACAAATTGGAGCAATATTAATTGCTGATATTCTCTCTCGGAATCCGAGGGAAACTCTTTACATTCCGCACTTTTAACTCTGTCCGTACACGTTCTAACTTGATCGTCGGAGGCGGAACTCCACCCAACCGGAGTTTCAGTGGTTTTGCAGGTACAGACGGTCAACATCCATTCTTGGAATTGTAACTCTCCCAAGGGACTCCAAAAAACCCCAAAACATTTAGCGCCGTCTTTGGGGAGAGTACTTCTAAGATGGCTTCGCAACAGTCAGTACCGCCTGCTAATGACAAACGGCCTTTGGCCAGAGTAGAGGTCTATACAGACTAAGACAGTGGTGACGACTTTGATGTCGACACCTATGTGGCCCAGACGGGTCACTCAAAACAAGACGCACCCGTTGCAAAGGAAATAAGGGAACGAGGCAAAGACAAAGCTGGTCTTAGCAGCCCAACCGTCAAGCCGGCTAGATAACCCCAGGCAGTGGAGGGTGTTGCCCCTGTTACAAGAGACGAACTCCGAGAGAGTCAGTCACACGGCATGTCCGCCCGTACTGGCCCTCAGATTATCCATCCGGATCTGTATGTGCCCCAACAGCCATACATGCCATATGGATCACCCTACATGCAGCAGATCCTCTTTGGGGGTTAGGCGGCACAGAATGTCCAGCCAATGGATTGGCAGCTCCGGCTGCTAAAACTTGGGGAACAGCCGTCGGCGTTCTCCAAGGAGATAACCGAGGCGGCATAGCCGGCCAAGGTACAACAAACCCGGAAGACCACCTAATGGCGTACACCAACCTCATGTATTTAGAGGGGTTGGATGATGCCGCTTGGTGCTGATGCTTCCCGGCGACATTGAAGGGCATAGCCCAACGATGGTTTGGCAATTTGTCAGCCGGTTGCATCAACAACTTTAAGACGCTTTATACCTGTTTGCATCCAAACTTCTCTATGAACATCCCCGCCTAAAAGAGAAGTCTCGATTTGGGAGCTATTTAGCAGGGAGATAGAGAAGGGCTAAGGTCCTACGTCAGGCGGTTCAATTTTGAAGAGTGTTGCCACCA